CCTTTTTCTCAGAAAAGGAGAGTTCTCTTTCCTCCCCTCACAGCTCATCAAATTGCATCAGGACAGAGCATGTCCTCTTCCACTGAAGCCTGGCATGTCTGTCCTGCAAAGTGATCAAAAAGCTGTCAAGTGAGTCTATGTTCAATGGCATCTTCATTTTCCTTAATAGAGGCCCAAGCTGCCAATCTGCTACATCTTTGTAGGGGTCCTAGGTTCAGTTTTTGCATGTTTTTTTTTGGGGGGGGTTGAAGCTTCTTCTCAGCAGGCACCTCTGGATCCTAAATAGTTGACTCTGTTGGTCTTCTTGTGGAGCTCCTGTCACTCTCAGGTCCTTTTCTCTTTCTTCCCACTTTCCCCCAAGACTTCATACACATTGCTCAATGTTTGGTTGTGAGTATTGACATCTGTTTGGAGATGCTGCTAGGTAGAGCCTGTCAGAGGACAACTCTGTCAGGCTGTGTTCTCCAAGTTTAGCAGAGCTTCCTTCATAGTGTCAGTGTTTGGCACTCTCTGATAGGATGAGTCTTTGTTTTGGTCAGGCATTGGATAGGCATTCCCTGAAACCATGCTCTATTTTTATCCCTGCAAATCTTGTAAGGGATGCGGTGAAAATTTGGGTCGAAGATTTTTTGCATGGGTGAAGTTCCCCTGCCCCAATGGAATTCTACTACTCAGCTATTAAAACCAAAGAAATAATGAAATTTGCAGGCAAATGGATGCCTGCAAAAAAGATCATCCTGAGTGAGGTAACCCAGACACAGAAAGATACACATAGTATGTTCTCACTTATAAGTAGATTTTAGCCATAGTATACAGAAGTATACCATGTGGCACAGGCCCAAAGACAATAAGGAGCATTGAGGACTCACAGGTGGATGCAAAAATCTCACTCAGAAGGGAGATAGCACAGAGGTAGGTAGTGGTTGAAGACAGGCAACAATGTAGGAGTTGGGCACAGAGAGTTAAGGGGGTAAGATCAGACCTGGGGAGAATGAGAGTGAGAAGACAGAATGCTGGTAGAGAAAAGAGAAAAGAGGTTGGGTGTTTCTCTGTGACAAGCTGGAGATCTAAAACAGGGTAGGCTCTTTGGAGGATATGATGTGTACTCAAGCAGAAACTCCTAGTAGTAGAGGTCATAGAGACATAAGAGGACACCCACTAACTGGACTAGTCTCTTCTCCATTCTTAAATATCCTACAACTTAAAGTCCTTCCTTTGTTTATCATCCCTGTCAGCTGGTTTCTTTTTCCACCTCTTGACCTAGGGTTAACTTTATATAATCCTGTTCACAAAAAGCTCCTGGAATAAAAGGTATGTGCTAAGGCTGAAGCACACTAGAAGTACTTTTACAGTACACAGAAAGCTCTAGCGTCAAAAATTGAGCCATATTTAAAAAGAGATTTTGTTTTTTATATTTCTGAAACCCAGGGTTCATGATGGAATTCATTATCCTGCAATACAGACCCACACACTGCCACTTCTTAGGAGATCTAATTCCCCCAGTCTCATTTCCAGTGGCATACCAGACATTGTTCCCCCTTCTTCTCTCCATCTGTTACAGATCACAAGGATTTTCTCCTCCAAATTTCCTTCCCCTACTCATTCCAGAATGGCATCCCCATAATCAGGAGACATTCCCTGTGAACACACCAGTTGAGCAAGCAAGTAAAACAGGCAATACACAGCCCCTACACTCTCTAAAATCCAAAGAGACAACAAAAGCCATGGAACAAAACACCCACTTAACATAGACAAATATCCAGAAGTCCTCTCCTAGAAATATAATCACCCCATACCAAGATGCCTAGGTGATGGCATAACAACACAATGAATAACAGCCAAGGCAACATGTCTACACTAGCACTCAGGTATGCTAAAACAGCAGAGCCTGAACATTCCAACATAGCTGATGCACCAGTAAAAGACCTTAATATAAACTTTGCAAAGATGGTAGAGGTCCTTAAACAGAAATAGAATAAATCCCATGAAGCAATTAATGCAAAGACGAACAAAAAGCTGGAGAACATGGCCAAATGTCTTAAAGAAAGCCAAGAAATCTCAAACAGCTGAAGGAAACCAAAGTGTAAAAGAATTGAAAATGGAAATAAAATCAATAAAGGAAATACAAACGGAGGAAATTCTGGGAATAAGAAAAGAGGAAGAGAAA